GAATCACAATAAATATTTTCTTTGCATTCGTTATGAGTATTAACGGATAGGCGAAATGTACGACGACTTTACAACGGATGGTTCACATATTCTGTGTACTCCATATAATCGAAGTTACATATTTCAAACACTCCCTGATTGTGAAAGACATTTAAGTTCGGCTATCCATCGACAAAATACTGCTGGTACAGTTACAAAAGAGAATTTTTTTATGATTTGTGTGTCAAGTTCTGCGCATATAGTCTGTCTTGGAACGTAGTCGACAATGCTGGGTTTAGAGGTTTCTTTGCAAAATACGTACCAGGTTTTCCTTTACTTAATAGTCATACATTGCATAAAACGCATCTACCAAAAGTGTGTATAAAAATGTATTGGAGAACATTATAGAGGACGAAATAAATGTTTGTCGGTGACAGTGAATGAAACAACCGAATTTCGGTATTGTAAGGTTCTTAATGTTACAGTGGTAATTTTGAATGTTCAAAAAGCTTTGTCTCTACTAGACAGCAAAAGTCGGACTATAAACAATAAACTAAAAAATGTCTTACATAGGAGCCTGGGATAAAAAACAATGTGTAAATTCGTGAAAATTATCTGCGCGGTTAATCAATGCCTGCCCATGTGAACTATTTAGGATTTGCACCATTAACCTCGGTAAATGTGGAACGTTCATTTTCCTTGTACAAACATATGTATAGACCAAATCCCACAAATTTAACAGCCACGAATGCAGAACGAATATTAGTTGTGACCATGTTTAAAAGGAATTTAGACATTAATCCAGAAATATTTCAACAAATTAGAGAAAATTGTATAAAAAGATTAAATCTTTGTTTGGGAAATAATGTTGAAATTTTGAAAACAAGTTATAATTTTTATTTCTTTTTTGTATGTTCAAATATATGTATATTTAAATTGTTAATTTTATTAAAAAAATCAATTATAACGTAAATTAGCTTTTTTTTTGTATTTCGGGTGTATTTATTTGAATAACTCAGTTGCTTGAAGATCAAATGTAAAACACATAAATTTGTAATGGGGAGAAAAATGTGCATAATCTCCCGTTTAAAAAACATGGCGTATTCTGTATATTCACAAACTCAGCGCATACAAAAACTTAATGAAATATGCTACCGATCTACGTTTTTTGTTTTTTTTCTAGCTATATTTTTAACAAATAGAATTTGGTTTAAAAAGTAGAATTTTCATCCGATCACTGTACAAAACAAATATAAAAGATCAAATAGGTATAAAAAAACGTGAAAAACAAAAATAATCAACTCTTAACATATAGTGGTAGTATTTGTACTGGTGTATTGGGATTGGATCATGTTGTCGCTATTAATTTACAACAATCGTTGAGACAGTTGAGTGACGCTCTGGGATTTACTAACGCACTGATGCGCCTGGGATTGAAAGGCGCAGGAGGCGGCGCCCCTAGCCCCCGGCCCTGTCCGTTCCTTCTTGAATTTGCAATAAAATTTCCAACTCAACTTCTTCATTCGCAAAAACATTCTCATTCATATAACGCGTACATTTCACAATCATCAAAATATAGAGATTATTTCAAACTTATTTGCAACATAAAATTTCTCGGACGGCGATAAAGAAATCAAAGAAGCCGACGTTTATTTATGTTGCTAATAAGTTTGAAATAAACTGTACATAGTGTTATTTATTATACAGTGCATTCACAATGAAAGGAATAAATTCAATATAATCTGACCAACTTGGTTTTGCCAGAAATGCTCGGACACGTCGATTTGAAATTTTGAATTGGCACATTTTGAGTCATATGGCAAGTCAATGTCACTTCCGGTTTTTCCAGACGTGACATCAACTTTGTTATTTTAAATGTAACACCCTGTATTTTTGTACGGATTTGTATAAACGATAAAAAGACGTTTCGAAAGATGTAGTAAACACGTTTTTATTATGAGTACCTACTTTTTGTATTATTTACAAACTTACTGCACTAACCTGCTAAAAAAATCTTTCCAAGTTAATACATATTCAATGTGTTGCCCGTTTACTTCAATGCATTTTTGAATTCGAATAATTATTTCTAGTTGGACATTGTGAATCATTTCTGATGAGATTTGTTGGATTTCCTGGCGTATTCTTTCTTTTAATCATTAAGGTTTTAGGTCATTTCACATAGACTTTGGATTTTAACTAACCCCATAAGAAAAAATCTAAAGGGGTTAGATCAGGTGACCTCGGCGGCCACTCAATAGGTCCCCTCCTATCAATCAATCTATTGGGGAAGGTTGCATCTGGAAATTGACGAACAGCGATTACATAGTGGGGAGGTGCCCAGTCTTGTTGGAACCAAATTATATCATTTGGTACGTCAAGGTCCTGTGGGTTGGCAAACAGAACAGCTAAAGCAGGAATAAGTTCGAATTGAAGAAACTCTAAATAGCGTTCTCCGTTTAGTGTTTCTTCAAAGAAATAAGCCCCAATAATTCGAATGCCGACAATTCCTGCCCATACATTAATTTTCTGAGGATACTGTGTGTGAACCTCTTGCATCCAATGAGGATTTTCTGTCGCCCAGTAATCTGCAATTTTGTCTATTTACAGAAAGTGGCCTCATCAGAAAAAAGAATGTGTTCTATTAAATTTAAATTTTCATTGTGCATTCCATGTATTTGCTCGCAGAATTGCATTTTTTCGATTAAAGTCGCCTTCCGACAATTCAAGGTACATTTACAACCAATTCAGTACTTTCACATTCTGCTGGTCGATTGCAAATTGGGTTTTAAGCATATATTTTTTTCCTTACGGGTTGCGGTTTTGACTACCAGTTGTACTGAAGCTTAAGCTTATTGTACCCCATAGTCTCATTACTCCATAAGACCCGTTCTATTCCAGAAGGCGAGTATACAGTTTATGGAAGCTCTGGCTATCTCTTCCGGGGTTAAAAGTGGTCCTCGAAGTGTGTTAGTCTCAGTGCCGTTAGGGCTGGGCACTCGCATAAGATATGGTGGGGAGTTTCTTCCTCTTCACCACACATCCTACAATCTGGATTGTCTTTCACCCTCATATTGGTTAGGTGTTTGTTTAGTGTGCAGTGTCCTGTTAATATTCCCACTGCACACCTCAGCGGTTTTCTGCTCAGCTTTAGCATGGCGTTGGTCTTTGCTCTAGATATTTCTCCGATGAACAAGCGTGACTGCATCATTCCCGGTATCTCTATCCAGTGCGAGTAGTGTTTCTGTCTTAATAGTTCCTTTACCGATCCTTTCGCGGTGCTATAAGATACCCCGCAGGTCGGTTCGGGACCTGTTAGAATTGATTTAGCGCCTTTTCTGGCTAGCATGTCTGCTTTTTCGTTTCCCGTATTTCCCTGGTGTCCTCGTGTCCACTCCAGTTGTACACTGTTGTGTTCTTTAAGTTTCTCGAGGGACTCCAGGCCGTCTTTTACTGTTTTAGATCGTATTTCTATTGCTTTCAGAGCTTTGAGGGCTGCTTGGCTGTAAGTGATGATGCGGATTCTCTTATTTTTTTTATGCCCTCCGTATCATTTCTTGTGCACAGACGTCTATTGCTGTGATTTCGGCTTGGAACACTGTTGCGATACTTCCAAGGTTCAGGCTGATGTCTGTCCCTGGTTGTTCTCCCGCAACTCCTGCTCCGGTACTGCTTGACCTTTTTGATCCGTCAGTATACCAGACGGTGTAATTTGGTTGTCTCCGCATCCTGCCTCGTTCTCCATCCCTTTCAGGTATTTTTACCCTGAAAGTTTTTGTGAAGTTGCAGGTTGTGCTGATTCTGTCTGACTGCATATCGAGTAGCTGATTTTTTCCTACATGTTAAGCATATTTGGTTGAATGTATTTGTTTACAATAAAATTTTAAGTCGGCACGACTTTAAATTGCACTTCAGGTTTAAACTGAATGCTTGCAAATCGCAAATATTCACTTCAGTTGCGGCACGAATTTCAAATTGCGCATGCGTACTATAACAAAAATTAATTTTTTATGTCTAAAGTCGGTTTATGATTTGAAATTTGAAGGTTAGATCTTATTAGAAAATATGATGTTTTAGAAGTTATGTTAAATAATTGTAATTATTTAATCAAACTGAATTTGCACACACGTAATATAAAAAATCTCAACAGATGTCAGTTTCTAACTCATTTTAAATGGCCTAAATTTGATCTAGGCACAATTCACAATCCGCTAGTAAATTGTGCCTGTAGTGAATTGGTTGTAAATGTACCTTTATGCACCAGATGTACTTTATGAGGATAATACTTAGCTGCTTGAGAATTTTTGATACTGATCCCTTTGCCAAATCATAGTTTATTGAGAGTTCTCAAACCATTACAAGGGGAAGCTCTTGAACGTGTAACTGAACATTTACGTAAACATCTTCTGATACCTTTTTTGGTCAGTCTTTAGGTAAATCTTTAACGTGGCCAAACCCTCTAATTTCCTTTTTTCAATTTGGCTCACACTAGATTCGCTAATCGGTGGACGGGCGGGATGATTTTCATTAAATAAGTTACATACCTGCTGTTGAATACGAACTCTATCACCAAAACCAATCATCATAAGCACCTCAATTCAATCTTTCTCCGTTAAATTCATTTTTTTTTGGTAAATAAATGTCACAGACACCTGATATTGGAAACTTCAAATACCTTTTTGACAACATAAAAATCTATTGAACGCTTACTATGTTAGTGCAGTAAATATCTCACGTTCTTTGTAAATAATACAAAAAGTATTCATAATAAAAATGTGTTTACTACATCTTTGGAACCGTTTTTTTATAGTCTATACAAATCCATACAAAAATACAGGTTGTTACATTTAAAATAACAAAGTTGATGTCACTTCCAGAAAAACCGGAAGTGACACTGACTTGCAGTATGACTGAGAATGTGTTAATTCAAAATTGCAAATCGACGTGTCCGAGCGTTTGTGGCAAAACCACGTTGTTCAGATTATATTGAATTTATTCCTTTCATTGTGAACGCACTGTATACCGGCTCGGTGGCGTAGTTGGCTGGAGCGCGCGATGGCAACTGTGACTAGATAGTCTATCGTAGCTCCGGGTTCAAATCCCGCACTGGCTGTGTCGGTAGGGAATGGTTGTGTGTTCGCGTTTTTTCATAAGTGTAACCCTCGCCCGTGCAGATTCGACTTTAGATTCTGGGGTTGTTTAGTTTCAGTGGTGTTTACTTATTTATTATTTGTTTATTTGTTCTATTTAAAAAAATGTATCTAGGAAATGCGATGTACAATTTCTTTTCTGTAAATATTTTCCGGCGGTTCGGAACAATCCCTATAATTTTAAGGATAACAATTTTTTTTGTAACCAAAAATAATGGAGGCAAGGTGGGTTGAAAATATAATCAATCACCCGGTACAAAGCTGTTTTATTCTGATAGGAACTCATCAAAAAATACCAACATATTTCATATTATTTAAAAAAATATTTTAATTACATAATTCAAAAAATTAAAAACTTCATATTTTGAACTATGTAATTAAATTTTTTTTTAAATATATTCATATTTTTTGAAACCCCTGATTTAATTTATTGTCTACCTAAAACTGTTATATTAGTCAATTCAGACAAGAATGACAGTGTAAAATATAGGAAACTATAGTAAAGTTCAGTTCAAACTTATTTGCAACATAAAAAACGTCAGCGTTGGGGACTTTGATTCCTTTACCGCCGGCAAAGTTGCCAACGTTTTTTATTGCAAATAAGTTTGAATTAAACTTTAGATTATTGTTATCTTATCCTTATCATTATATTAAATTCGAAAGGATGCTTACGTAATGCCCAAATATTTTTTTTTCTGGAAATACAACATAATAATGTGTAAATAAAAATTTTCTTTGTATTAAAAATTGGTGCGGTCTACGACTATGAGCTACGAGTCTCGACTTTCGATAGGTGGTTCCTGAAACCTGAAACTGAAAGAGTACTAAAGTGTCTGAAGTTATCCGTCGGCCGTCGGATGAAAACCACGGCTCTAGAATTAATTATGTATATTTTAAAACCAAATGGATGTTTAGTTGTTTGCTCACGGGCTGTTGAATTTGTCAACAAGTTAAACAATAAATTTATTTGAAAACTAATATGACGACTCAAAATACTAACAATTTAATCACTTGATCGTTCTGAAGATATAAATTTATTATATTTTAAATATTGTTCTTTATTTTTTTATTATTTTATTAAGTATATTTCATTTTCTCTGAGTCAACCTGGCAACGTTGCCGAGAGTAAATTTTTGCTAACATTTTGCTCTGAAATTGAACAGTTTACAGAAGCATTACAAAAGTGCCGTACACCACAAACACTCTGTATACAGGGCGTTTCTCATACAACTGCCCACGCTAATTATTCAAAAACTAAAAAAGACATTTTATTTTTGCAAACGGGACTTTGTGGATAACCTTACAAGCTATAATTTTCTGCATTGTGGTCAAAATTGAGGCCGGCTGTGGGCATCGCAACGTGACAAAATAACGGAGCCTTGATACTGTGATACTTGATTGAGTAATTTCATATACTCATTTTTTTTAGGCACCACGGGTTATACAATCCCTAAACGTACCTCACCCAAGTAGCATAATATAACTTATATGCTGTGATAACTAAACCTGGGCTTTAATGACGTTTCCGCAACCTTGATTTGGCTGTTAAATGGTTAAATTGATTTTAAATCTTAGTTTTGGTTTTGGTTAGCGATACGATTTTGAAGGCGTTATATCGCATTAACATTATACGACGTTATGGAGGCAGTGATTACAACAACAACCAAATAGATGTTAAGCAATGTTGGAAAGTTGTGAAATTGTTTTCATGGCTAGTAATATAACAAAACAAATACTATATATTTTGATCATTTTGTTGGACGTGGCAGCCAAGATTTGACTAAATTATTGCTAAGCAATATTTCGGAATATTTTAGTCATCAAGTTTGTTCTTTTTCGATCACATTTTCTCAAAATTACGCAGAATTTTGAAAAGCAAATTATTACAAATAAAGTTATTTTGTAACAAGTGTGGCATCTGAAAATGTTACCATTGATTTTCTCACCATTCAATACTTTTAATACATGTGCCCGGTTTTTCGATGTTCAGTTAGCCAAATTATCTATCAGTTGGTGACTTCTCGGCCAATAGAATTCACCCATTTCAAACTGATCGACAGCTAATGTTGTTAACTGAGCATTGAAAATCCGGGCCTAAAACAAGGAATGTTGTTATTAGTTGTATATATGGAATAAAAAGATACTGAAATAAATTCCCAATAATTGCAAATACAAAGAAAATTAATTAATTAGAAATACACTATTTATCACACTTTTTCTTTATTTTTTTGCATAAAACTTGACAAAAGTCTTAATTACAAGGGATGCTGTCAACACCAATGATGAATGAAACGCGGCATCCCTTGTAGTCAATTTTGAAGAATAAGTCAGTGAAGTAGAGGAGGGCCAACTTATTTAAATCTGTGTTGAGATTCTTTGTGTATGCTGCGTTTATATCCCACAGAGGATGCTACCTATTACCATATGGTTGCAAATTATTTCATAAATGTGGTACACAGTAAAAAAAAATCAAACAGTATTTTTATTTGCACTTTAATTAATATAAGTTTTGTGCATACTTTATGATACATAAGTTAAGAAAGTGCATATTAAAGATTACCATTATTACACTATAAACTTAATAAATAATGTTTCAAGTTATCAATTATCATTGCCATCAATTATAAATACAACCCGAACTATTTTAAAATGTTTTGAGATTATATGACATCTATGAAATTAAAATTTCTGTTATAGGTACACGTTGATTAGTTGATCACTAAATAATAATAACACTGAAACCGCAACACGTTTGCCGAATTCTCAGGGCTATACGTTACAATAAATTTTACAAGACTATTATGTGATTTATATTTCTTTATATTATCCTAAATTTGAAAGTGACTTTCACCTTTGCTAAAGAATGTAGTGCACTATACTCTGATTGCCCAACATGTCGATGGTGTTAGGACAAAAAGGCGTACGCGACAATAATCTGAAAAAGATATTCTTGTGGAAAACATATCATAAAATGAGAGCCTTTCGTCTAACATTACGACTGATTCCACCAAAAATTCGAGAATCGTTAAAATTGAAGTTGAAGAGACGTAATCGATAATTTTAGTTGTGAATAAAGTGAAATTATAAATTAGTAAACGCCGAAATCTCATAGTGGCATGGGCTGATATGCTGAGCTACGATTATTTCGACACCCTGATGAGGTCTTTTTGTTTAACTATTTTTAATTTTATTGAAAAAAGTATTAAACCAACACACTTTATATGTTTGTCAATTATTGGCTCTCCTGTAAAATTTGATAAAAGCTGCTTACGCCTTTTTGTCCAAACACCGTCGATGTATACTAATAAAAATGTTTCATCGTAAAGTGTATCAATGCGTATCAAGAATTTCGTTCTCTGGAAATATATCAATCGACCATAGTGTGATGTCTAAAGCTGAAACGTCGAGATTCAATTCTCAATTGCAGATAGCAAGGTCGGTGTAGAGGATGCGGCCCCACCACAGGTGACAGTTGTTTAATGGTGATATCTGGATGTTTCTGTATGATCTCATTTTTATGTTGAGGGATGTGTAACTTCCGCCGCATGTCCTGAACAACGAATATTTTCAGTTATTTTGAAAAAATTTGCTATTTGCAGCATCGAGGTCGATTACAACATGTTTTTAAGTAGTAGTAGTATTAAAATATCAATTTCAATGTTGAGATTAAGTATAATTGTTTCTTTTTTAACTGAAAATAAAAAATCATTATTCGCTTTTTTTTCTAAATAAATACTTAAAATTTGTTAGGAATACCTTTCAATCTTTGGTTTATAAGAGATAAAAATTTCAAATCGATAAATCAATGTACTCCGGAGTTATGGAGTTTCAAACAGGATTCCTTTTCTAATAGTCACTACTTCTGAAATGATTTAGTAGTTGATGAAGTTAATAACTGGATAAACTAATTTTATAGAGCACAAAAAAAGTGCAGAGTTTTCTTTCCTTATTTCGTATCAAAAAATGTCTTGTCGAGGAGGGCATTACTTATGCAGCCGATGGTTGTACATCCTACATCCCCTAAATGACTTAATATGCAGATTTTTTACAGTAGCCCGACTAGGGTATGTTACTGCCCGTATTTGGGATCCTCTACTAAATGTCTTTAAATATGTAGAGATACAGATTAAGGACATTTTTATATTGTCCTTTAATTACAGTCTTTTAGGCTGGTATAACACTAAATTAAAATCTGTATTGAATATTACATGATAATTAAACATTTTTGTTTTAGGTCGCAAAAACTATTAAGAGACAAACGTAAAATGTTTTTAATTAAGAAGCTAGCTAATGAAGGAACAAATAATAGAATATGCTATATTTTGGTTCAAAAGGGACCGACAGTCACAAGCATTTTTTAATTTTGTCACAGGAAGCTTAGGAGGCTCTTCATCAAACGAATGACATATAACATGATACGCCTATTTGTATACTCCTCCATATTACCATACACAATCCGTTTGAAACATAACGATGATTTCTTTTATTGAAACATTTTTGATGAATCAACACCTGGTCTTTTAATTCCCATATTAAAACAGACAGAATTATTCTCACAATAATTGATTAATCGATTATAATTAAAATAATTGATTCTCGTTAAAATATCGGATATTCAGTAAATTTTAACTAAAATTCTCTAAATAGCCTCATTTCTAAAAGTTATGTTTTGACAAATGGACATCTTATAATACTTAAAATATTGACGAAACTCTTCAATATTACTAATAAAGGTATAATAAAAATTAAAACACAAAAATATTCTAACAGAGAGGGTAAAATTAATTAACAAATAGTAATAAATACTACAAATAATACCTAAATAAGGTACCAAAGTCGTAATCTTGATTTGTTTAACATATTTCAAATAATCTTGGATGTAACAAATGCAGATAATGCTGACATCAATGTCATTCATTATTTTGTCCAAAATAATCAATAATGTAGTATGCATACTACATATATGTA